GTATTTTATGGTGATAGATTAATTAAAAGAAGTTTAACATTGTTCTGTGTATATTATTTGAATTTCTTTAATTTCAAACGAACGGCCCCTGATTTTCCTGTAATTTTTGCAGTATTTCAAATGAATATGTACCCACATAACTGTCTTCTAATCGGATTAAAATCTGGCCGATATTGAAAAAAAGTTGATGGCGTGTGTTTATCCGTGAAGCGTGACATGTCGACTATCTGGCAACCCTGGTTTCCTTCACTAAACACTTGCTTGGTACGAAGCGTTCGTTGGCTGATGCAATCTGTTCTGTTTATTTATCACTTTAATAACTTAATTATTATTATTAATATATTGTTGAATACACATTCTCATAATGCCTACCATAGGTGTCAAGAAGCATCTCCTGTTTCAAGCCCTTGGCAAGACATACAGTAAGCTTCCAGACTCATGCTAGGCATCCTAGGCCTAGGCGGTGCCTCCGTTCTTTCTAGTTTGGCTAGGCCTCTAGGCGTAGAAACTAACTCCCGGGGCTAGACTAGCCTAGCTAGGTAGTAGGCTAGCATAAGCTAGATCCAGTACTCTTAGGGCTAGAAGATCAACCCGCCTACAATCTCTTAGTAGGCCTAGGTTATTAACTGCAGTCCAATATTTAAGCCTCTGCCTAGGCCTATAATAGGATGTCTAGGCCTACTTACCTTACAAACAAGATACTTGCTAATCTATACTTGCTTGAAATACTGGGTCGTTTAGAAAGGTTTAAGCTTATTGATAATGACCCATCCAATATAGTATTGTCTTTATAAATGTGAAAAAGTAAATTTACACGGAAGTTTAGACCAATGTTGACTTAATGTACATTATATATATTTATTCTTGAGGGAGACTGTTCCAAGGATCAACAATAACTCTAGGCCTAGAGCTAAAAAAATATTTTCTAACGTCCAAAGATATTGGTGGATTTTTCTGGTCACTTTTTTTAACCCTAATAATTGATTTTTTTGCTATTGGATTCCTTCGGGTAAGCTAAGGCTTTTCTCGGTCCTTGTTATTTGTTGTGTATACTTTTTCCGGAATAAATAAATGAAATGAGATTGTCTTGAGTGCAAAATATGGGTTGCTTAAATTACAGGTACAAGATAATACCAGTTGTTTGTGGAATTTCAAACAAATGGGACAGGATGAAGATTTATGGGTCAATTTTTCATAGTTTTCACAATAATTTATCAGTAATATGACAAGTATGAATGGTAATGGGTTAGGTTAGTGCAAATATAAAAATTTATTAGATTATCACTCACGCCCGCATCAAAAATTCGCGAAATATTGATGCAGGAATTAAAAAAAAAAAATTTTTTTGCCTCATCAATTATTTCAACAGCATAAAAATAACAATGCAATTTTGTGACTTCAAATACATTTTTTTTTAAAACTATAAAATTAAACCTGTTTTTATACAATATTTACTATTACAGACCAAATATAAACAGTCCATCCCTCATCGATAAAAACAAAAGGGAAATAATCTATTGTTCCGATTTAAGAAAAAAAGAAAGCCGCCCTCCCTCATCAATTTAAAAAAAAAGGAGTGATCTAATGATTTTTTTCTATGTGCCCTTATGCTGATTTTCTCTTATTGTATCTTGTATTTATAATGTTTTTATTTGTTTTTAAATGACTTGTTTTACTGTGTATTTTATATAGAGAGAAATCAAATAAATTCAATTCATTTCAAAAATCTATTTACAATGAACCAAATATTCTGATGGAAAAGTAATTTGTTCTAGAGCTTAGGGACATTAGACCTATTTATTTGTGGGTCTAGGCCTATGGTATATTTCCGTAGTATTTTTGTCTATTTCCGTAATTACCGGTAGGCAAAATTTCCGTAGCAGTTACGGAAGTTCTTGAGAATCTGTGTCGTACCAAACCCGACTCGCCCATTAGGCTAGGCCTGCCTAGTGCCTATGCTTAATTATTACTACGGTATATATTACACTTGTATTTGTTGTGGTCCTATAGAAGTTAGCCATCAAAGTTAAACTTATTTTTTTTAATGCCAGTGTAACATCAGGATTAGGCCAGGCCAATCAGAAATATAAGACAATACATGAGAAAAGCAGTTAGGCCTACTCTGGCATTTTATCTGCATCATGTTTGAGAATTCCAGTTCCTAGTAATATGGTTCTACAGTGCATGTCTAACCAACAGCATTACTTTCTTACTACAGCTGATGATGAGTTTGCTGAATTATGTTTTGATTATGGCCTTGAGCTTGATGAAGTTGTAAGTTAATCACCATTATTTAAAAAATATATACCGTATAATGTAATTTATATGTAAGAAAAGGAGGCGCTTCTCTCTCCACCCAGTACTTGCACCACCACTAAACCAGGGTCTGGCTCATGTAAGCTTTATGGACCATCCACAACCACCCAGCACATTGTTTCTTCTTTTCCATTAGTGTTTCTTTATTTTGTTCATATTCTTGGTCAGTTTAATAACTACCTCTCTCCATCAAACAAGAAACTGACTATGGATATCATTATTACTATTTGACTATTTGTTGTGGCTACCATCATATTTGCTCCTATTCCCGTGTTTGTTCCAGGTTACAGTAACTTTAAGTTTCTTTTTTCCACTACCAGACATCAGAAAAAGAGATGATAGCAAAGGAACAAGGTAAAGATAAGGCCACAGCATCAGATGCGTCCGATGTAATCATTTATAGAATAGATGTTCCCGCAAACAGGTAAGTCAGACAGGAGGGTAGTTCAGTATCAAGATGAGTAACTTAAATTAGGGAGTATAATGACTTGGTGATGGTAATATAGTAATACTGTTGTGTATAAAGTAACAAGGTTTTCAATACTTTTAGCATTTAATAGTTGTCTATACCAAAATACTGTAAAGTTCATTGCAATCTTTGTCTAAATATTATTGGTAGGAATCAATTTATGTTAATGGTTTTCTACAGATAACATGCCTCCCCTTGTTATTCTGTATTAGATATGACTTGCTGTGCCTGGAGGGCCTAGTCAGAGGTCTACTTATTTTCTTGAAAAAAGGTGAAGCACCACGCTACAAGGCATTACCCCCAGCACAGGGACAGATGCAGAGGCTCTACATCAAACCTGCTGTAAGCATGCATTCATTTGTACAGTATCTGCAATTTATGTTTGTTTTTTTTTTTAAAGGAGAAGCCAGATATACATGGCACCCTCACACCTAAAACAATATGGAGAAAATCACGTGTACATGTGCAAATTGTTTTTTACAGTGATGTAAATATATCCCCAGCCTATTGGTATTAACATTATGTATGTTAAAATTATTTATTATAAAGTTTACTATGATTTTTTATGACTATTTTTAATATTTAATTTTATTTTTTTACTTTTCAGTTTATAAAACATTAACATATAAAAAGCGAAATATTTTGTTTAAATTGTTAGAAAGCATGATTAATGGTGTGTGGTAAATCATATGCTAACAAAATTTTGATTCAACTTATAGACAAAGAAAGTTCGGCCTCACGCAGTGGCAGCTATTCTCAGAAACGTTACCCTTACTAAAGACGCTTACAATAGTTTCATTGACCTTCAAGACAAGCTGCATCAAAATATTTGCAGGTGAGTTCAAAGGTTAATTACATGCACTGTGTTCTCCCAATAAAAACATTTATTCCAGTAATTTTTTGGATGTGTTTTCAATTCAGTTTCAATTTATACACAATTTGATTGGCAGCAAAAAAGCTGAATTACATCAAATTTTCAATTGATTATACAATTACACCAAAAAGAACAAACACAAATCCGATACAATTCAAAACACACTATAAGAACACTTTTGATTAAAATTATCAAGTACAAAGACATTACATTTAAAAATATTAAGATATAGCATAACAAATTTACAAATGAATGACACACAAGTCTAAGGAGAAACATTAGAATTGAGGAGAAGGAATAAAGGATGTGAGGACACAAAAACACAGCAAGACCACACGCAGATTTAATTAAAAATGTTAACACAAAATTAAGATTTGTTAATTAATCAATTGAGATTTATAGAACATTAGAAATTTTACAAATTGAAAATTGGATAACATTAAACATACTGTAATTAACAAGTTAAATATATTTTAAAATTTATTGCACAAGAATTATGAATTAAAAATTAACCACCTAAGACCAAATTAACAGGTATAGAATATCAAATGTAGGCTTAATTAAATTTTGACTTGTGACAACTTGGATTGCTACATTCAGCTTGCAAACTTAAGTATGATTTGGAAATGTATCATGTTACAAGACATTCAACATTTACATGTGATATTTTTTGTCGCATTTTCTTATAGGAAGAGGTCGCTGGTTGCCATAGGAACTCATGACCTTGATACTATTACTGGTCCATTTTATTTTGATGCTCAGGATCCACAGAAAATTAAATTCTGCCCATTAAATCAAGTATGTAAAGTCAATCTATAAGTGTATATACTGTCTCTTGCAGATCCAACTTTCTTCAAGGGTAGGTGAGATGTGTATAAGAGACAGATACTGTGTATAATAAGCATGTGTATGCTAGATATTTCTACACTACCGTATTAATTTCAAAGTATATAATATACAATGTTATATATATAATGTGTATAAGTATAGATAATAATACAAACTCATTTACATATTGAATTAATTTTTTAACAGGTGATTGAATACACAGCAGCTGCACAGATGGAGCTCTTCTCACATGACAGCCATCTGCGACATTACCTGCCAATTATCCGAGATAAGCCTGTATACCCTGTCATCTATGACAGTAATAACACTGTTCTATCCATGCCTCCAATCATCAATGGTAATAATTGCTATTTCATTTCAGTTTTAACTACAGTTAAACTTGACTAAGTTGACTTTGCCTAACTCGAATAATTTCTAAGTTAATCTTATTTTACACGCCAGATTGTTGTGTTTTCACTTAATTAACCATCTGTAAGTCGAACAATTTTTCAATGCCATTTTGGATTCGACTTAGGCATGTTCAACTGTACTTATATATACTTATATAATAATACTTATATAATAATAATAATAATAATAATAGTAGTAGTACTACAAGCAGCAGCAGCAGCAATAATAATAATAATAATAATAACAATAACTATTTAAAACAGTGGGACATGCTCATGCAGTGCATTCGTAAAAGTAATGAGTCACTTTATACAGTAAAATATATTGCACAAATGTAAAATCATTACACAATTCATCATTTAAAATTCATGTTTAAATGTTTAGTGAGGATCTGTCAAGTGAGGATCTGTCAAATTATTAAAAACGATAAATTAAGAGATAAAATGGGATAACAGAATAAGAATGATATTTCCAAACATAAACACATTTCAAGGTCATAAAATTATACTTATTATAAAATGCTTAAAATTCATTAAACAGTGAATTTCTGCTAACTGTTTTACCACTTGCAAATTTACCAATTTGATTTTAACCAGTTTAATTTTTGGTCTCTGCAGGTGACCATTCCAAGCTTACCACAGAGACAAAGAATATTTTTATTGAAAGTACTGCAACCGACCTGACCAAGGCAAAGATTGTACTTGACACGTTGGTCACAATGTTCAGCCAATATTGCACTGAGAAGTTTCAGTAAGTACAGTGACATGCCTGTTGTTTGTATGGCATTGGTTTGACTCAATCTGTTTTTAAAATACTATTTTTATATCACCTATTAAGGTATTAAGCAATTAGAGAAAAGGAAATATAAAGTTTTTCAACCCCATCTTTTTTTTTGAAGCGGGAGGGGGGTTTTAATGAAAAACATCAATTAAGAATTCTTTCTTAAATAACAATTGATACTCAATAACTCTGCCATATTTGATATTTTTATTATCATAGGGTTGAATCAGTTGAAGTCATATATGAGGAAGATGGGAGATCTTGTATTTATCCTGAACTCCAGTACCGGCATGAAGTTATCCCTGTGGATTTAATCAATAAAAAAATTGGAATTAAGTAAGATGCAAATGATATTGTTTAACAGTTGCACCATACAGATCTACTCAGCAAATTGGCTCTATATACAGAGTACGAAAATTAATGTATTATTTCGAGTCATTTTCTCATGTGGATCAAATTATTTATTTTATCTTGTATATTAGTGAGTCTGCTGATGACATTGCATCATTGTTAACAAAAATGTGTCTTGCAAGTGAAGTTGTTGATAATGGGGAAAATGTCAACGTTGAAGTTCCCCCAACAAGAGCTGATATCCTTTTCATATGTATTTAAATTAAATTATATATTTGCATATATATTTGTATAATTAACAGGTTGTTGTACATTTATGTACTTCTTTAGATCAACATTATTTGCATATTGTTAAAGTACATGAATATATATGATTGACTCACCCAATCAAATCCTTTATAATTGAATAATACTGTAAACCTTAACAGAAAAGCACATGTAATTCATGCATGTGATGTTATTGAGGACGTTGCGATCGCATACAGCTATAACCGCATTAAGGAGCGTATCCCACAAACAAGTACAGTTGGCGCTCAGTTCCCGATTAACAAACTCTCGGATCTACTCCGACAGGAAGTGGCTGCATCTGGGTACACCGAAGCATTAACCTTTGCCCTGGTAAATTTTCTATTAAATCATTTTATTTCTAATTTAGTGTGTTTATTACAGAGCATAAATTATCCTTTTTATATTTTTTTTTTTACTTGCCAGTGTTCAAGAGATGACATATCTGTGAAATTACTTAAGGAGTTAAAGGATACCAAAGCTGTACATATTGGAAACCCTAAAACTTTAGAATTCCAGGTAAGAACGTATTTATTAAATATAATGTTTTCCATAATTGAGGCATGTCATGTCAATTTGGTTAAGTTGTCACACAGGCCAGTATTGATAAATGTGCTTTAAAAAATGGGAGCTCAAAAAATGGCCTAAAATTGAAAAAAATTGTTTATTTAGCCTTAGGCTGATTTGATAATAGTTTTGCAAACATGTTGACAAAAAAAATTATACCAAAATTGATTAGATCAAATATGTATTTATTTTAGTTGTTAGAGTTGCATTTAGTTTAATGTTAGCCTGAGTCAAATTTACTAAATCTGTTAATAATGCCATTTATTTAAATGATTCCAGGTGGCAAGAACCACACTTCTGCCAGGCATCTTGAAAACGATAGCCTGCAACAAGAACATGCCACTACCCATCAAGCTCTTTGAGATCTCTGACATCATTGTCCAGGAGTCAACAAAGGATGTAGGTGCAAGAAATTACCGCAACTTGTGTGCCGTCAACTACAACAAGTCTCCCGGTTTTGAGGTTGGTATTTAGCAGTGGCGTATCTGGAAGTCTTGAAATGGGGGTGCTGATGGTGGACCGCGAAGGTGAGGTGTGGGGGGAGGGCTCAATCAGTTACGGGGCTAACCTCCAAAATAAGGTGTTTTTAGTTGATTTTTAACTACTTGCAAGTGATTTAAAAACGTCGCATAGGTTGCTAAGAACCTTATCACCATTTTCTCTTTCAACTAGCAACAGAGACAAAAACTCAATAATTAACACATGATTATTCTATCAGTATTTGTATTGATAGATGTTAGCTCCCAATCCCAACAAGGTTCAGTACTCCAGTGGATTGTTGACACCACAAATCACATGATCAATGTCCACACCCATCACTATTGATACCCAGAACCATTATCAGTGCCCTCAAATTGCCTTCATTGGAGTAGCGGATCCGGGAATTCTAAATAGAGCAGACCCACACAGGGACTTTCACAGGCAGAGGGCCTAGGCCACCTCAGCCCCAACATGGTTGGGCTTAAGAACACTTATCATTTTTCCATCTCCCTGTAAATGGCTGGAAATGACACATTCAGACCTCAATTTAATTATTATTTTCCTTTTTTCTTCATTTTTGGTTTAGTGCCTTTTATCATTTATTTAAATTGATTTATTTTTAGATTGATTTAATGATTGATTCTTTAGTAATGGTAATTTGTATGTTTTATATTTTAAGGTAATTCATGGACTATTGGATAGGGCAATGCAGCTGCTTGAGATTCCCTTTTCACAAACTGGTCAAGGCTACTACATCAAAGCCATTGATGGTAAGTATGAGGGGACAGTGGTGTATCTAGAGTCTTGAAATGGGTGGGGGTGCTGAAGGGGTGCAAAATGTTAACTACTTCAGCATGAATTTTTTTTCTTCAGACATTTTCATTGAGGATATTGGTGGGGGTGGGGGGTGCCCCATGCATACCATTAGATAGACTACTGTGAGGGGAGGGAGAACTCTAGTAAGCAGGGAACTACACCAGGCAGGGAAAATATAGCAGTGATGCAAGTCTGGATAGTCACATTTCCTGAGGGTGACCTATGTAGGGGTGTTACAGAACAGTGGGTTAAATTTGTTTACAAGTCAAGTCTATATTCTCCAGGATGACAAAAAATGAAGTACTCTAAAATTAAAAGGTTAAAGTTTGCTTTTTGTAATTCACTTTTTTTGCAGATCCAACTTTCTTCAAGGGTAGGTGTGCAGAGGTTATCGTCAATGGCGAACATGTCGGTAAACTTGGTGTAATTCATCCAGATGTTCTATCAAAGTTTGACCTCTCTATGCCATGTTCTGCTCTAGAAATAAATATCGAACCATTCCTGTGAAAAGTATATTCAAGCAGTGTGACCTAATGTGTGCAAGCAAGCACTGCATTATGATGAAAATTATATACTGTATATTGTAAATCAGTCACATGTTGATGCCTGTATTATGTTCTATCTGTTTATAATGCAATATGACTCCTTCATTAGAATTACATAAACATTTAACATATTGCAAAGTTCTGAATTGAGTCACTGTCGTTTATGAGAAATATGTTATTAGGCATCATATGGTACTTAATTTTTTTAATATGGTTGGTGGTGGAAACATTTTTATCATGACTAGATTTGACTTAAAGAGTCTGTTTTACACTATGCCTATTCTGAAGAGTCTCAATTTTGAATTCCAAGGAGACTCTCTGCTAGGCTGTCACATGGAATGAAAATACCCATGTGTGTAAGTATTTGTTACATTTTGTTTTACGTGTGAATTGGGTATAAGGCTAGACACATTGCTTGTGTTCTAACAAAGGGTCATATTAATTTGTGTCACATTGCAGGTTTCTCTTTGTCCAATGACACATTAAATACTGTATATCACCTTACAGCCATTAAATGGAGAACTTTGTACATTGGTGATTTGCTACCTAATAACTCAACAAATTTAGTTTCTCATACTACAGTTAAAGAAATTTTTATTACTGCATAAGATAACCTGCGCAGCAAAGCTGTTCTTTGACCATAGAGCTATTAAACAACTAGAGTGCAATGCAGAGTTATGTATGTGTACCATCCAAGATGGCCGTCGTAGTAAAGCGCCACCTTCAGGCTTAGTACACATATTATTACCATAAATAAGCCCTCTGACTGACTATTATTTCATTAATGATAATGAGTAATGGTAATAACATATTATTAAACTAGCATAGCCAAAACGAGGCCAAGTGGAGCATCCTATTCAAAAATAAAGTACCAAGGAATGAAAATTAAAATCGTGTACATTACACCCATACACCGCAACACTCAAGTTTCAAACATACGGGTAACTAGCTGTACTGAACTTTCTGTGTAAATTGAGGGCACAATTGCAAATGATGGCGCTTAGGCGAAATTTGATTGGCTAAATCTATGGCAACCATCTTGGATGGGTACACACACACAGTTCTGCGTATTTCGAACATCAAATACATTGCAGTTAGCGCTCTAGTATTCTTATTATATCTCTATGTCTTTGACCCACTGACAAAATAAAATGGCTAACAAAACAATTGAAAATGTATATTTTTATTATTTGAATCAAGTTGTAACAAGACTAGTGTAGAAAATTTGTTTTGTTAAAAGTTCCATATGAGCATTAAGCAATTGAAATTTACAATTTGACTGTTGACCCTGTAAATAAAAAAACATTTTTACATTAAAACAATTTTAAAACAAATAAGAGTATTTGGCACATAACATGACTGTATAATACACCCTCCATTTACTAACACGCTTTGCAAATGTCAATAATAATATTGGAAATATAAGAAGCAAATCTGCTTCATGGATGCCTGGTCCTCGGTAATTAAAAATATATTGTACAAACTAAATACATGAAATAAAAGTAATAATTATTTATATAGCACCATTTTATCTAGATAGTAATAAAAACATTGTTAAATATTTTACAATAACTAGCACCACACATTTATGCACAGAATTTTTCAGCATACTACTGACCATAAGGACAGAACACCAACAATCTGAGAGCTTGAATATTTAAAGAGGAAAATAACTTTTGATATGCAGGCTAACAATGAAATCCTTTGTCGTCAGTAATTTTATTTTAGTACAAAAATATTTTGTGCAGAGATTTGAATACATTCGCATTACACACATGATCATAGAAAAGAAAACAATATTAACATTCAATTCTGGTTACTATTCACCAAAATAAATTTAAAAAAAACAAAAACATGCAAAATCTGTAAAACATCATGCTGACTCAAATACAGTCTGCTACACTCTGTCAAAGCACACTCCATAAATAGACTACATGGCATATTTATCTTGTTCTAGACTCAATAGCACCTTCATAAAAAATTAAGTATAACTGGTGGCGGATTCAAGGAGAGGCCCAATAAATTTTCCAAGTTATAAAAAAAATGGAGAAAAACAGAAAGTTATATTAAAATTCTGAGAGTGTAAAAGTCCCTTGTACCCCTCTCTTTAGAATTCATGGGTTTGCCACTGATAACTACACTGTATTAAATGAATTTGGCATAATTATACTGTACTTATAGGCTAAACAGTTTCTAGCTCTCAAGTATCAATCCTTTAGACATTAAAAATGCAAGTTATACCTGGAGTAATAAACACATATTTATCTACTGTAATTGCATATAAAATTATATCTGATTGCTTACAAACATATATTTATTCAATGCTACACCTCAGTCAAACAGAGATGCAGAGGATGTTAACATTTTATGTAGGCATTAATTAGGTTAGGAAGACATTAGACTGGCAACTATATTTTTCAATACAGTAATTTGATTTCCTGACAAATTGTCATAAGAAATAAAACAGTATTTTTACACATGCAATTTTAATAATCTAGCACATACTTATCTATTTTACTTGGCACTTTCTTTTGCATAAAACTGTATACTGTATGTTAATTCCACTTTACATACATATAATTAATTGTGATTCACAAAGCTTGGTATTACTGCAATTTGTTTATAAAATGCAAAGTTCACTTTATATAACAAAAAAAAAAAACACCAATAAGTATTAAATTACATCACTATAAATATAATTTCATATGATTTTGGTCATATCAATTAAATGAGCAAGGAAAAATATAAGATACCTCATATTATGAATGAGAGAGTCCAACCCAAATAAAACACCAAAAACATTTTGGACAGGCAGAAAAGTTACTTTATAAGACTGTATCTGGTAATTGGTTGTAACTACACTGCCACCTTGATTTAATATTAATATCATCTTCCCCACGCTTTTAATTTTCCATTGTTGATTTGAATCAAAACCTGAGATATAATAAATGGTAAGCCATTTATTAGAATAATTTTATGCAAATACAAAAATCTAGCCAATCACAATTCATCTCAATGTATATGTAATTACACAATGAGGTGGATTGTGATTTCATTGTTTTAATATAGTGCAACTGAACAGTGCTATTACAAAATATAATTTGCCAATGAAGAAAAGAAGATATTTAATAAAACCAGTTTTTAATATAGATTTGGTATGGACCCCTTTCAATGTTTACATTGGGTACCCTACCTGGTAGGCAAAAAATCCTTGAGGTATAGAAGGAATACATGCAAAATCAGGATACTTGTTATTTTTTCTGTTGTGTCAAAAATATGAAAGCTACAAGGATGAAATTCACATATGTCGTATTAGGAATTGACAAAAAAAATTAAAATTTACGAACTTATATTTTTTTTCTATTTTTATTTACTTTTTAAAGTAATTTTCGTCTTATCTTTTTGGATGTTAATAATATTATATTATATACTGTATATACTAAATAGTATATATAATTATGACTTTCATCCATGTAGCTCTCATATTTTTGGCACAACAAAGAACAAACATAATGCATATCCTGATTTTCCATGCATTTCTCCTATACCTCGAGAATTTTTTGCCCACCAGGTAGGGCACCACCAGCATTTCAGTTAGGCCAATGTAACATTAAAAGGGGTCTATTGGATCTTGTTGTTTGATAGTAAAAAAATCAATTAAAACCAGTGTAATATTACCAATTACAATTCAGGAAGATGTTTTCCTGGTTACAAATGAAAAAAAGTTACACTGCCCTCTATTCAATAAGATTATATCTTCTAACGAGTCTGAACTGCCCTGTGGGATCTATGACAAAGTATTTTTCCCAGGCCTGAGTATGCTGTGAAATGCGACCCCATGGTTTAAAGTTGCCACTCCAGTGTATCAGTTTCGCTGCGTTGATAAAGGTCTGCGAGTAGCGTGTTCCGGAGGTGAGTCCTATAAAAAAAGAAAATTTTGAAGACGTTTTCATAACCTTAATGGTTCTTGACATGGTTGTAGAAGGTTAATGAAGTAAAAATTATCAAGAATTTTGAACCACTATGACAAGATCCTGATCTAGCAATTTCTGGAATCTTATCTTATTATCGCATCCTGCGTACATGCAATAATTGAAGAGAGCATTATCTTTGACTGCCAAATTGTAGAAAGTAATCTTTACAGCCAGTCATAATATTTAACAATGGATATGTTTCAGAGTATTTATCAATTCAAATATGTTTTTAACATTATTTCTCTTATACCTAAGTGTCTTATGTGCCACATTGGGTCAATCTTGGAATACTTTTTGTAGAATACAATCATCATAGGGGGCGCTGTTGCTCCACCTGCTCGTTGATTTCCAAATACATTCTCACTGCATAAGAATAAAATAAAAAATAAATTATTTCAACAGTACTTTATCAAAGTATAGCAACCATTTTAAAACATAAATTTTTTCAACATTATTTAAAAATTTTTTTTAGAATATTTGGGAAAACTTTAGCAGGTTTTGACGAACTGTGCATTCAGCTTGATCCAGAAATCGATCCTAGCAGTAATTCCTTGCTTCTTCCACTCATCAATGTCTGCAACAAACACACCAGCATTGAAAGAGCATTCCAACGGATTCATGGTCATTGCCTTTACTTGTGGATGCTGGAAGTTGATGTAGCTTCCGTAATTCGTCTGTAAGATAAGTTCAAGGACGTATGAGCCTGTGTCAGCTACACACTGTCACAAGGAACCATGATAACATGTTGTCCACAGTGATATTAAAAACACAGGGTTAGTAGGTTGTCAATTTATTTATTTTTTTCTATAGGCCTACTGTAGGCCTGATTTTGAGGCTCTTTACTATTAGGCCTAGCTACGCTGATTCTAGGCTTTTTAACTATAGGCCTACAGTAGGCCTGATTCTAAGCTTTTTAGTGTAGGCCTAGGCCTGATTCTATGCTCAGTAACCACCATCACCTGCAAAATGTTTGGTTATTGATAACATGATAACCACAGAGCTAATTCCACGATTAAGGTATCAACTATATTGAAGTATAAAAAGAGGATTTGTGAAACATCAAGTTTGGTTCATTAAAATCATGATGTAGCTTTTGTAACATTGTGAATATGTTAATATTACCTTGTAGAAACCATATCGACTGGAGGTGGCAGTACAATCATCTGACAAAGCCACAGCGTTGCCAGGGGCAATCTTGGTGTTGTTCAGCTCTCCAATATTACCTTGTACTACAGTATCGCTGTCTACAAATATTATTCGTCCTTTGACTTCAGGGATAATATCCGGGAAATAAAATCTGGCATAATTTAGCTGAAAATATAAAAATATAATAATTCACAAAACTACCTTATTTTAGGTATTTTATTAAAAAAAATGCAGGAATCAGATTCGGGATGCACAAATCTGCACCAAAAGATGACATGGAAATATCCCATATTAACTGGGTCACTGATAAAATCATATAATGGACAAAACTAGAACATAGACAGGGAAGCAGTCACGGTTTTGACATACATTACGCTCAATAAAAAAATTATTAGTTCATCACCCTTGTGTGCATGTCTTCTATGGTACTGAAAAAAAAAATTTGATTTTTTTTTTTTTTTTTCCTTATTTAAATTTTTGAAAAGAAATTGAAAGTCGGCATTTTAGTTTTTTTTTTTTACATCGCAAAATATTTAATAAGCTAAAAAAGCTGGAATGGACCTATCTTGCGACGGTAGGCGATACGACAGTCTTATGCGATCGTTTTGCTCTTCAATATGGATTCAAAAATGGTTTTTGTTGTATTTTTGTGTATTTTCTACTTCTTAGGCATAAACAATTTTTGGTTAAAAAATAAAAATAAAAAAAAATAAACTTTTCTTAACGACCTACCAATTTTTGGGATTTTTCCAGAACCTGACCAACACAAGAATTTTTTTTTATTGGCCTTATGGCATAAGTAACTTACAGGTGATGTGTCCTGTAGATCAGATCTCCCATCCTTTGGATGCATCTTCTCTCTCATAGACGTGTCGTTGAAAGCAATGATGGTGTAATCAATCTCCTTTAAAACCGAGTCCGATATCCATTTTCTTTGAAGATGAAAGATAAAGAACAAAGATCTTATAAATAAAAGATGGCGTTCTCCGCGATTTACGTGTAAAAAATAGAAGCATTGATTTGGCACAGAAAAGTAATCAGTTTTGGGAGAGGGCGTCTTAGTCGTTGCCATGGATCATGAGATCGGGTGTTCACTTTACGTTAATTGTTCCTTAATTGTTCTAAAGAGAGGGAGCATTGTAAATCAGAGCATTTCTAATTGTTATGCTTAAACGTAAAGTTGCACGGCGTACAGTATGCTAGACTCAAAGTTTTTACTTTTGCAAGATTGTGTCGTACACTTCGTTATTACAGCATTTGCACGCAGAAATCGCGGAGAATGCTATCTTGTGTTTATAAGATCTTTGGTAAAAACTAGTAAAAACAGAGGACGCTACAATATAAAATATTTCAGTAGAGATTTTAAGGGAGAAATATACTCACTGTAAGTGGTTGATAGATGATTTATCAACTACAAGATAATATTTGACTGGAACTTTTGCATTCATACGGATGCTGTTCACCGTTGTGATCATTCCTCCAATCGTCCGATGGTCCGAGCAAAGGAGTACGTTCACAGGGATAACAGATTTATCTGCCAGTTTCACAGCATGTTTTATCCGGAAACCATCCGGAATTTTCTTCAGTTCTTTTGATGGAAAAAATTATATTTTAAATTTATTGAAGTACAAATGTTCCTTTACAAATTTGTTTTTACCATGTATTAGTCACATTTAAAGTTCGATTTAAAAACAAAAATCTGGGTATACTTAGGTCTAGAAGATGTTTATTAAATTGTTATCTTTTTATAAAGTGTTTTTTTTTTTAACCAACAAATCTCCATTTAATATAAAGTATTTCATAGATCTCATTCATGTTTTCAAATAAGATTTTAAATGATCCCTCACATCCAGTAAATCAGCAATACACTGTATATAGATAAAATCAAATGAATACAAATGCAGGAAATATTTTGTTAATAATTAAATTCTCACAGATAATTTAATTAAGAAGTGATGATTTGAATATATAATTTTTTTGCACATGTTACTGAATTTTTAAGAAACAATATAGAACAATTTTATGTACACCATTGGGTCTAATAATAACAACAATATTCTTACTGTCATATAATGATGAGTTTCATAAATATATTTACATTGCATTAGTTTAAGTGTATAATGCTTACCTTCACTGTTAATGTCTAGATCTGAATGGATCGGTTCCGAGGAATAGTATACCATAACATAGCCCATTACAATGACAGTGACTAAGGCAATAACTAACATCAAGATAAAAATACAGAATTTAATAATTTCAAAATGTTCAGTATTATAGCAATTCTAAATAAATTACTCATGTTTATATAAACACTTAGAGAGGTTTAAGGACAGGCATATGTTTAGAAAGAGCAAATACCAATGATATTATTTTAAATCATTTGATTCTTGGACAAAATACAATGGTCAAGAGGCTGATTCTATATTATGTTGTTTCAAATAAAGGGAATTCTGGGTTTGAAATTTCTTAATATTTATTGTCTATTTATTATATCATGATTAATTATAAAATGAATCCGACATAAAAGTCGCGATTTAAGTGAGTAAAAAACAAACAAATCTTTATCATTATGTGGTAGCTGAGTCAAAATCGAGACTAAGCATGTTTTAAATGAATGTGTTTTCTTTACAAATTTCAACAGCTATCTTAATGTAGATAAAGGCCCAAGGCTTGACTGACGAAGACGTTCACACATGTATTACGGTTGTTATTATGTTAAGCTAGGCACGGATACGCTACGGGCCATGCCTAAATAGCGCTGTAGCCTCCTTGCTTGCTAGAGAGAAGGCTGAGGCTCCACAGCAGCTCATTATGATCAATGATGACTCACTCACAATTCATCTTCTCATTCAAAAAATAGATTTATATTTTAAGATAGGCTTAAAACAAATAACTAAGACAATTCTTACGTGTAACTGGATACAGGCGAGCCATAATGACGACTTAAGGATATTAGCAGTATGGAGAAAGACGTCAAACCGATGCCTGCATCAGAAATAAAAACTGTGCCGAAAGTGTTTACGTTGACGGGACCTTACTTATGGGGGCTGACATATTGAATGGCATCTTCTAATATAGCTTATAGGTAAAAATAATAATACAATAGATTAACAAGTTTAAATGAAAGTATAAATATTGTAATAATAATAATAGTTAAACTATGTTTGTAAATATAGATTTAAAAAAATTTCCTTTATATGATTTATACATTACTATATAATTAGTGTATTATTGTAATATTACATGTAACCGAAATAGTAAATGGAATAATCAGCCACGTATGAGCTTGCACCTTTTCCTGATGTTTAAATCCTGGTTTAGAAACGACGACGTCAACAGTCGTCGCTGCGATCTACGATATGACGTAATTACATAGGTAGTTGCTAAATACAACGGGTTCAGCCGAGGGGGCGTGGCTTGTATATGGTGACGTCAAGTATAATTAAGCCGTCTACCAAAAAACATCACACTACACTGACTGTGTGACCAATGTGAATTTAGCAAGGCGAGCAGGCTAGGGCTTAGCTTATGTTTTCTTTTGTGCTGCTGCTACGAGCGGGTGAGGGACGATCGAGTCCATTTTCAGACAATTGGCCTAAGTAGTATGGACTTTATAGGTCTAGGCTCCTGGGTTAGGTCGGACCAGGAGGTCTTTTCAGTAGTCTGGTGCCTATAGACCTAGATTGTGCGTCCAGCAACCCGCAGCAGTCCGTCTAGGCCTATGCCTCATTTACGTGAAGTTAGGCGCATGCAGAATCTGTTGTAAGACCCTCGCCTGGCTACTGAAAAATCTGCACTGAATAGGCGCATAATGCATAATACAAAATACACGACATTGGAAAGTTAATATATTACTTAAATTGCATATATATAACATTCGGTTCCTTTCTCTTTTTCTGGATTATAGCCGGCAATATTCAAATCAGTGAACACTAAAAAAAATCTGAACTTCAGCAGTCATGTTGTAAAAGTTTTTAATTTATAAGGCCCCCGAGGTCCCCGACGAAAAAGTGAACGTCCACCGATAATCAGCAGACGGCGTTGCGTCATCTATCGTTCACATGGAGCGGAGTTGGATTTGTCGTACGACGCAGTGAGTGCCCGGCATTATTCTTTTTCTTAAATAATCATAAAAATTACACTTTTTCATTCGACCTCATTTATGCAAGATGTGTTTAATTGTTAATCAGTTCTATGTATGTATTTTTATTTATTGCACAGGATTTACTGATTATTTTTGTAATTAGAGGTTTATAAAAGGATACTGTTTATCATATTGATACCGATTCATTAAGTAAACATTATATAGTAATATGTAATAGGCCTTAATAGATTCATATAGGCCTTTTAAAATATTTTTTTTATTTCATAACAAACTGTATATAATATACTATTTTAAAACAGTTCACTAAAAAATGGTTCAGGTTTCGTGGAATCCGATGGCCTATCATTTGTTTCAATGTCGCCTAACCCTCTGATTGATTGTTACAAACAGGGACTTGATATATGCTTGAATGAGCGTTTAACAGGCATTGAGCCTTTCGGTATATACCACATTTACCTGGAATGCGCATCTTATTGTCTTTCGGCTAGCTAATTTGCATATGTAACAACAAGGCCTACAGGGTGAAACACAATGATTGTGTGCTTGTTGTACCCCTATTTACACAAGGCATGCTTTTGGTAAGTATGGGCCTAACGTTGACAAAAATATATTCAAATAAATAAAAAATAAAAAGATTGTTTGTTTCGGAGCTAATTGTCATATTGGTGAATAGATAACAAGCCCAGTGGTGAACCAGGCCATTGGGTTTCTTATCATCTTTCCTTTAGTGGGTACAACACGTAGTTGGGTGACATTGTGGTGTACTAGCTACTCAGGCACACATTTTTGTAAGGAGCTTTTTTAGCTTCGTCTTAGGATCCTTTCATTAATTATTAAAGTTACTTTAATTAATGGTGTATTTTATGTTATGAATTCTCTACGTTTCTTGTTCATTAACGAAGCTCATTGCATAGGCTTACTAGTTATTCATGTGAACTTTGATATTATTTGAAAATTTGTTTGATTATTGCTGTGTTATTTTAGAAAAAAGAAGTCTACATCGTCCAAGCTCATACAAAACTTCCGTCGGATGGAACCATGGTGTGATTCTTTTAGAGAATACGGATTTTAAAAATTGTTGGATTTGTGTATACACAAGACAGTAGGTTAAGCTCTGTCATCATTAACTGAAGCTACTCGATAATAGCGCCATCAAGCGTCGGGGCTTGCTTAGTTTTGAAATAATAATATTATATTAATATTAATTCTTTAAAATACATGTAGATGAAAATAGATGCATCATTAAGTAATGTTAGTGTTCATTTACATTAATATAATACACTGTATCTGGTTTTGTAATAATTATCCAATATGATATGGTTGGATTTTGAAAAGAACTGGATTTGTTTTATTGTACTACCGTAAAGATCGAATTATAGCCCTGGGATTTTTTTTTTAAACTTTGGATGGGCTTCTTTTCGAGATGACTTCTTCGAGATGGGCATTTTAAGAGGCGGGAATTCTTTTCGAGGCTACTTTTGCAAAATAAAGAGGGGGGCTTACATTTTGGGAATTACTATTAAACAATAAATAGGGCCACTGTAACATCAATCTGTATAATGGAGAGTATTAACCGGCATTAAGTCACCCTAAACTACTGACTGTAGTATAAAACAAGCGTGTTTTCAATTTTTGTTTGTTTTTTTGAAATTTATGTTCAGTGTATGTACTGTACGGTATACTATCTCGAGAAAAGGCCTATGGGCTTCTTTTCGAGCTTCTTTCTGAGGTTACTTTTTCTAACTAAAGTTGGGGGTTTCAGTTCACCTAGACGGGCTTCTTCTCGAGATTAAGCCCATTTTGGTTCTATACGAGGTTTCACGATAATAGGCTTATGGTTAGATTTGAAATATATTTTTCAAGGTTTTTTAATAATAGGCCTATGACTATATCGGATGTCGCTAACAATAGTTTACTGTATTCAAGATTATTTAGTGTTGATATATTAATTAAATCAATTGACTCTTGTTGTAGACAACTTCTTTTCCTGGACATTACGAGCCACCCTTCCGTCCGTAGGCCAATATACCCCTAGGCACCGTCCATTAGTTTTACCAAAAAAGCTCCGACATTGTTCTGTTTCCGTCAATAAATCACCAATAATTACACTCAAAACGTTCGTCATAGTCATACGGATTAAATTAAATTAAATTTAAATTTAATAGGCCTATCAGTGAACGTATTCATGTCTCCATGTATGAAGGGATCATTCATAAATGTGGACATTTCACAATAATTGTACAAGTATACAAAGGGCACTCTTGTTTGCTAACGCCCAAATCAGATGAGGTGCGTACATCCGTATTTATTCGAATAAACGCCCGGGCGTTTATTGTTGAGAAGAGTTTTTGAGGGAGTGGTTTCGAGGGAGGCGTTTATTCGAGGAAGGCATTTATTTAATTTTGTTGGTGTTAAAATAATACGTATATACTCAAATTAAACGACTCCTAATTGTACTTAAAATGTAGAACTATACCGGTAACAGAAATTACCGTACTCGCGCGAATAAGCGCCCAGTTGAATAAGTGTCCCTCTTGAATAAACGCCCTCGATTCCTAAACAAATCCAATCATCAGTACAGTACAGTACATCACCAACTTAATTTTTTTGCATCAACTATTCGCATCTATCTTAGTATGTCGGTCGGTCAGTCCATCTATCCATCTGTCGGTCTATCAGTATCTATTATGTTTGACATGGTTTTCAGTTTTGATGCATCTTTAGAATCCCGTTCTTGTTTTATTGCTACCCTTTTTAGATTTAGAATTACAGTATTATTTAAAAATTAAAATACTGTATAGCCATTTTCAGTCAACAAAAATAAACTGACCTTATCACTCTCGTATCTAAAGCAAGAAACCCTGCAATGATCCTGCTAATCTGAATTGGCAGATGGCCAACAAGCTTAGCACCACCACCACCACCTCCAACACCACCACTAATTTCATCTGCTTTTGCGTAAATATCCCCAACACTCTTGTCATGAGCCATGCTCTCTCAACGATTACCTTTTCTTCCCAAAACCATTCGTTTATCTTCCATAAAAAAAAGTGCCCCTCGAATTTTCCAATTTCCCATAAGCACCCTTTAAAGTTTCATCTATTTTCATAAGCGCCCCTCAATTTCCACTTTGTTTTCATAAGCGCCCTGTTTGAATAAGCGCCCCCAAAAAAGAGCCAAAATATTTTAAGCGCCGAGGCGCTTATATTCGCGCGAGTACGGTACTATGCGCCCGGGCGCTTATTCGCGCGAGTATACGGTGATGTATTACAAAATAATTATTTCATGTACCGTACTCGCGCGAATAAGCGCCCGGGCGCTTAAAATATTTTTTGCACTTTCTGAGGGGCGCTTATTTAAACGGGGCGCTTATGAAAACAGAGAGGAAATTGAGGGGGCGCTTATGGAAATAGATGAAAATCGAGGGGTTCTTATGGGAAATGGTTCTTATGGGAAATTATTAAATTCAAGAGGCACTTTTCGAATGAGAAAAGATTATATAAGGACATTACGAATGGTGGTTAGAAAAGATAATCGTCCAGAGAACATGGTTCATAACAAGAATGCGTGAATATTTGCATAACAGCAAAATAGCAGATGCAATTAGTAATGATGGGTAGTGGTTAGCTAGTTGGCCATCGGCCGATTGAGATTAGCAGGATAACAAGATCATTGTATTTTTTCTTGAAAACTCAGATGAGAATGTGCTAAAGGTCGGAAAAAGAAAAAGAGGAGGACTAGGCATAGACAAATATGTAAAAAGAGTAAAGTTGGAAATATACTGTCTGTCCAGGGATAAGAGAAATATCCTCATTTTGATATTGACCGAAGAAGAATGTGTTTCCACTCTACAGCTCAAATCATGCCAACAACCACAGTCCCAGGATTGATTTTATTATTGACTTGCTAAAAACGCTTATTCAAACGGGGCGCTTAATGAAATTTTCAAGTTAAATTTTTTTTAGGAATCGAGGGGCGGTTATTAATTCGCGCGAGTACGGTACTGTTATATTATATTCCGTTTAATGTACGAAGGTAAGTAAATATGTGGTAGCGCCACCTATTGCTCATACAAAATAAAACTCCAGTAAAACAGACATTGAAAGTGGAGTACACTCTCAACCAATCATATGTTCATATAATCCAGACGGCAGCGGTGTAAGTGCAGAAGTGTGGATCCTGTTTGGATCTACATGCATTTGCGATGGCGGTGTTGTCGAGACTTGGATTTGCTATACTGTTTTGGATTATATTTGTTTTATCGTGCCATAGGATTTTAAGTAAACAAGGTATGTTCAGGCTTACTAAGAAATTTACGTAAAGTGCACCTAAGTAACAACAGAATGCTTACTGCTGATGTAGGTACCGCCATCAGTCTGGTCTTGGGACTTTGCACACCTGCTGAGTTGTGAGTTCGGTCCTGGAGGCTGCATTGGTCCCGGCCAAACCCCCATCCCCCCTGTTTTGTGTGGCTGTTGACAAATTTATGCTCTAAAACTCGTCCGCAGACCATTTTTAATCCACAAGAGGCTTTCCCTCAACCCGATGGATACAGTGGGGGCTACCGCATGTAATCGGTATTCCTCGGTAAGTCCTCTTTAAGTTACGCCAACTTCTTGTTGGTACTCAGTAGGCCTATCATTAGCAATATCATGCAAGGTAGAGACTAGAGTGGGCCTCGAAATATGTCTCTTCAAGGTTATAGGTAGGAGTGTCAGTGAAAAGTTGGCCTATTAAAGTCTGTGTTGGAATAAAAAGCAAAATAACGAAGAATCCAGTGGTGTCTGAAATGATAGCAGGACTTCAAGCAAGACCTTTCGGACAACACTGACTCAGTGACTGTCCTTCAACAGAGATGATTGAGAATCGATCTGAGACTCAAACTGAGACCTTTATATACTGCAAATGAATACCTCCATTACTAGTCCAAGAAAACTTCAGTGGTGAACCCAAGCATCATTGGCACTGTAATTTGTATGTTAGGCGAGAATATTTATACCTTGTCTAGCGAACCCGCTACAATATTGATGATTTCAAATATAAATTAAAAATTTTTTTTGGCCATTTAGTCAACCTGCCGCCACGAAAAAATGGAAATTTTTTCTTTATTTTTCTTATGTCTGTCACTGCCTTGACAAGTTGAAATCTCCAAAAATAAGATATGTATATTTCTTTCTAAGTATATAAATTTAAAGCATTAACCATCCCATTACTACACTTTTTCATTCAACAATAAAATTTTATTTTTCTTTTCCCCTCTCGGTCTGGATATTTTTGGCAAAACAATTTGCTAAATAAGCCCTCCTCTGACAATCTTTAAAAAAATGAGTTTGCGTAACATGGTATAAAAAGTTCTGGCCTTATAAATGGTGAGCATTATCTTTACATAAATTGTGGCATTATTTTTTGGTTCCTTAAAACATATTTACAGTAATATGATACTCCTATGGATGGTCCATAATATTTTCTGTGCTTATAAACCTGATTCCTCACCAAAATTAAAAATAATATGAAAAATCGCTGTACTTTATTAAAACTTACCTGTATTATCAATGGTATTTTCCTAGTTATATATTGATTGATGTTTTAGGTAGTCTTGTTAATTAATGATGGTTATTGTTATTGCTTTGTTTTTTTATGTAGTTTTCTTTATTTTAAATATTGTATATACTGCAGTATATTATATTGCCTTCTTGTTTGTTGTATATTGTATTTTATTTTTGCAGGACCATATTGTAAAACAGAATTACCATCTCGTCTGTATATGTTATCCTGCCTAAGTATGTTTAATACATAAATAAAAACTGTACCTGTAAAGTTTAGTGATTATTGTAATTTAATGTTGCCCATCAAGTTAGTAGTACATTGTATAGTTTGTGCTATTTATTCTCTTCATGGATGATAACAATCAACGGCATCTATAATCCATTTCATCCTCCTCTGTCCTTACGGCAGAATGATACTTACGTTTGATAAGCCTAGCATTGCTAAGAACGAACCAGATCTAGGTCAATTAAATACCTTAGAAATTACACAGTATTAGTATTGGTATACTTACTCTGCTATCAGAATATCTCATATTTGAGATCCACTCAAGTCACTAGTGTTTACTGAAAACTGATCAATTTAAATACCAACAGATATGATAGTCTTCCAACTGAAAAGCTTTCTAAAGATAACACAGCGATATGTTTATCCAGAACAGCCAGACTCCAGCTTAATTGAAAGAACACAATTTTCCCTATGGTTAATAAAGATAATAAAAGACTAAACTGGACGTTATTTATGTAAACTTGCTGTCTTATCTTTCATTTACATAGATGCTAAATGGCCACTTTTGCCAAATCCGATAGAATCCCATTTGATGTGTTGTACAAACAGATACTGTAAATGCTGTAAATTTCTTATAATGTAGTAGAAGCTCTGGTATGTTGGAGCCTGTGATTTACTATGCTTACATTGCAACCCTAAGTATTTATAAACATTACTGATAACAGTAGTTGTTATCAAGGCTGGTAGAAATTGTCAACCTTTAGTAATAAATTAATGTCAACCAAGAATGTGCAGACACAATTTGCCTATAATAAAAATAATAATCCTATTACTTTTAAATAAATATATAATGATAAATAATAAAAGAATTCTTAAAAGGTAAGATAAGATGAATGGAAACTAAAGAATGATAGCAATAATGGAGAGTTATGGCTTGGCAGGTGTTGCCGTGGAAAGAGGAAAAGGAAGAAAAATTTCATCTGTTCTCAATGTCAATACATGTCTATACACCTGAACATAAAATTTACATTAATTTGATTTGAACGAATAAAAAGCAAATTTTGGTTTATTTCAGCCCTTACCTTACTATATTTTATTTAACAAAAATACACTTTTTTTTTTTATAAGAACACATTTTTAAATAAGAACACTGAGGCTGAAATTGCTTAAAAATAAAGAACAAAATAAGAACAAATTGAGGCTGAGGTAAAATGTCAAATGAGGTTTTTGAAAAACCCAAAAATTATATCTGTACTATATGTGCAGTAATGTAGGTGTGACTATGTAATACCAATATAATCAGGTGTACTGTCATTTTGGGCCATTTTTACCAGGCCTTTTTTCAGGGCCCATTTTTGTTATACAATAATAATTTTTAATGTTTGAAAAGTGTGTAAAATAACAAAAAATGTAGAACATTTTGAGCCTGAAATTGGGCAAAAAATAAGAACACTGAGCCTGGGCAAAATTTTACTGGTTCTTATAAAAAAAAAAGAAGTGTATGTGACATGTCTATGGTCATGATGAAATCACATTACGACCATATTTAGGCATATCATGACTAAATATAGGCATACAACAGGTTTTTTTTTTGTCAAAGTTAATATGATAGTCTGGACCGAGCTTAGAAGCCATGAAATATTCACACCTGAGGCTAGAACATAAGTGAACCACATTCACAGCCTGTCTAAGCATGGCTGGCCGAGATTGTTCAGTTTTGCGATTTGTACTCTAAACCATGAGGTCCACGAGGTTCCAGTGCGCCAAACCACCTCCCTCTAGATTTGATCTGTAGTTTAAAAATACTAGCCAAAAATAATAATCAATTTTTTTTTGAATTAAAAAAAAAATTATTACGCCAGACAATAAGCCCATCTATATCTCGCTCATTCATGGGCAAGGTCTGTAGTCCTGTACTGTAGTTATAGCTACTTTGATTTGCCATCTTGTAACTAAGCTAAGAAATTGGTTTTCGCCTTATTATGATGTTCGTTTTTTATGAATATTAATGGTTAAATAAGAAAGCAAATTGCACAAATTGTAATGTACTGTATTAAATTCTCCATTTCTGTATTTCTAACCCAGAAAACTGTAAACTCGCATAACTACGAGTCTCGCCGTACATGCTGAATTATGACCAAAATTAACAAGAAACATAATTTCTAGCTTAAAAAAATTTGGTTACATCTCATTTGAAGTATTTATCATCATCAAATATTGAGTTACCATGACGACACGATAACGATAGGGTTTGATTGTACAGAATGATTCATTGAGGTTCGGGGTAGAGGGTTTCAATTGGTATTGTATGAACCTGCTCAAGAAACAATGCCAATTGTGGTGAAATTTATCCTGCTATCCAATTTACCCAAGGCGTATTGCTGACGCAATGGGTTTGACAGGCATTCTTAAATGAGTCTTCTTAACCTTGCATGAAGAATGTTACGATAAAAAAATATTATAGATCTCTTGCAATTTATCTCAATTTATTGCATTTTTAGATTAAATAATGTTTTTTACAGAATAAATGTTTTCTTACCAATGGAAATATAGGTCATTTTACAAATGTAAACATTTGTTTCATGAACCACTACATAGATTGTAGGCATTATTGACCAGCTAGGAGGGCATGGCTAGAATTATTGCCCGGCTTTTAATCAATCAAATTCCTGGAATCCATGTAGTCAGGATTGAATAATTATTATTTAATTGCATTTATCATATTTGCTTTATTTTATTATTTTGAATACCTACTTATGTATAAATTAATTTAATATTCAGTTTTGATCATTAATATGTCATTACTGTGTATATGATTTTTAGATGTAGTGTAGTGATTGTTAAAGGTTCTCTGTAGTATATAGAATGTTAATTTAATTTTTTCCTTTTAATTCAAATGTTAATTTTTGTATCTTTTGCTTGTGTTGTTTTAACATGTATTAACTTCGCAGTTGTATTTTATTTGGCAGTGAGCCATTCAGGCTCTGCGCTATTCTCCACCATCTTTTGTTTGTTTTTAAAAAAAAATATAATGTAAATCTGTTTTAATGGCAGCAGTAAATGACAGATTGATTGACCTTAATTTTATATTTTTCCGGTAGTTGTCAGGCCTGCTGGTTGGTTTAATTCATATAATTTGATATGTATTTACACTATTGAACTCTCACTTTTTACAGAATCCCACATAAATTAGTAAAATATATTTATTGTTGGCGGTAACAAAAATTCATGTTTGTTGGCGATGATAGTGTAATGCATTAGACAAATTCAGACGCCTCTATTGTAATTTGTAACACAAAGTGATATTAAAAAAGAATAAAATAAGATAATAATACAAAATTAAATTTTAAGTGTTTATTCATAATTGCTATGGTAGTAACACAAAACTTTTGAGGACTTGGTATTAATGTGTTTCCATTTTTTAAGTCTAGACTATTAAAAAATGACCACCTGTTTGTTTTTTTTTTTACCTTTTGCTTTCTTTTTCCTTTAGATTTATGTTCTACAATATAAGGCATAATGAAAAAAAAAAAACATTTAAGTGCTTCACACTGGGAAAGGAGATTTATTTTTATATCTTCTGTTCTGATTTTGTTTTGCACCAAGAGGGTACCAATGCAGAAATGGGTGTTTTAAATGTCTACTACCATTATTAAATGTGACCGACTCTTGCATGACCAGCCGTTAGTTAGAAAAATTGGAAATTAAAATTATTCTGCATGAATTCTTTAAAATAGTGTTTATTTGATTGAATTTGTTTGAGTATTAGCAAAGTTAGGAATATTTAATTCATTTTTAACTTGCTATCTCAACAACATGTATGTTTTGAGAAAACAGCTTTCAAAGATTAAACAATCAATAGTTTGTTATTAAGATTTGTATTTTAAAAATAATTTTAATATACTTTTCAGTTAGATTTAGTGACTGATATTTTGCAAAAATGTTCTTCAATATATCTTCATTTATAAAATGCAAAAACCTGAAAATGTTCAAAATTCCCATTCTCATATGTTTTGTTATGAGAAATTATTATTATTATTATAATATTATGTAAAAATAAAAATATTTATCTTTTTACATTATTTACATTGGAAACAAAATTATTAATATTTAGTATTTTAAAATTTTTAACTTTTTTCTTTCTTTTGACAGTTAAAATATATGACTCCTGGGACCATGCAGGATTAAATTGGATGATCTACCCAAAAACAAATTCAAGTCAGCAGGCAAGTTATTATATTTAATTAATTATATTATAATTTCTTTCTTTATACAGTATAATCTTAATCTCATTAAGGTGCTAATGTTGGTACATTTGTAGAAATGCAGAGAAAAATATATAAACCGAAATAATAATAATAATAGTAGTTTTATATAGCGCACATATCCATCTAATGTAAGATGCTCAGGGCGCTTGATATGTGGACTAGGAACTCGATCAATGACTTTCTTCGCCCCTAAGGGTCCCTTCGTGTCTGTGCTACCCGGTAACCCGGTACCAGCAACTCTCGTCGTCCACCTAAGAGATGGCATCAGTAAACATACAGTATCTCGGATAAAAAATGTGCAGTTTAATCTCAATTTTAATCCCAAAAAAAGTCACACAAAGGGTCGTATGGGGATATGTACCATAATTGCATCGTACTGTATTTAAATTCAGTATTGTTAATATTCTTTCAATTTTTTTTTGTCAAACTTTACTAATTTTGCATCGGGAAGGCGAATTTTACTTTTACAAAGTGAAAGTAAAAGTTGTGTTTACCGGTAAGAAAACAAAAACAAATGGTATTTAGCTGTATTGTCGATGTTATAAACAAATCTCATATTTGATTACAGAAAGAAATACGGAAGCAAACATTTTAGTTAGAAGTAACCTAGATATAATACATAAACATTCTGATCATAAACTTTAAATTACTATAAATTTTTGTCTAAGGCTAAACATTTTTACAATTTATAATATTTGTAAATGTTTTTGTAAATTCATTTATTTGACGAATTTGGCTAACTCACATCAAAAAATTCCTCTAAATCATGTTGGGGATATATAGGCCTATGGTATGAATCATGTCTAGTGCTTCTTTCATTTGCTTTCAATGTGTCTACTTCTTTAAATGAGAAAGTGGTAGCTGTTCCCCATCAACCATCTTGGAGTTAAAAAAAAAAAATGTGCCCTCATTCTCTTTTAAAAAAAATATTAGAATGAGAAACTAATCTCCAAGGTCTTCGATAAAACATTATACTGTGCTGATGCCTATTCACTTTTAATTAAAATGTCTTAATTTGTAGATGAATTATGTAGGAGTATATTGAACCTCTTCAATGTTGTATACTAGTAGGCAATGTTGGTATAAAGGAACAAACCATAGTTTTATAGATTAAGGTTCTTTCATAGTAATAATATAGTTACAAACATATAATTTTGTTATCTATTTAAAATAATGTATTTACAAGTATATAGGTAACACATTTAAAGCAAAACAGAAGATAGTATAAAACATTCATATGTGCTAAAAATGAATCCCAGAAAGTTATTATATAAATAATTGTAAGACTAACCAATCAGTTGGCTTTAAAGATAATCCATTGAGTGTTAGTATGGTTTGGCGCTGTGTTTGTATCTACATTGTTGTTCCTACACATTTTTTATTAAGACAGTGACTCAAAAATTAAAATGATGCAAGTATATAACTAAGAAGAATAGGATAGGTCACTTACAAAATCAGTAATAATGGATCATGATCAATGAAATACAATAGTGACTTTATGTTTTAAAATATCAAACTTTATTAATTATTGATATATTTTTTTCAGAAGTGTAATTAATTGAAAATTTATTTGTTGTACTACTGATTTATCTACGACATGAAAAGGATGTTTGATAAAAACCTTGGGAACGGTTTATGTGATACACATTTTTGAATATTTAAAACTGGGAAAATAGGGGGCATAATCACCCTTTTTTCCACTTTCCCCCAGTTTCTAAATATATAAAAACCTGCATCTCATTAATTATTCCCAAGATTTTTCTACAATGCCCTTTTTGTGAAAAATCAGAACTACAACTTATCAAAATAATGTTTTTCCTCCGGAGCCTGCCTTTTAGGTTTTTTGTTTGAAAACAGTAGTTAACTTGCAATAGTAAAGTTATTTTTCATGTATCTTTTTTGTTATTAATTTGGATGCACGTTAATGTGATGTGTATCACTGTAACAAAAGTGATTCCAAATAAAAATTAAACTACATAAGAGTAAAATTAGTCACTTTAGTCATCAGTGATGATTGTGACATTGAGACTGCAGTAAACATACTTGAGAGAGGATTAGATAAGTATGATTGACATAGCACATGAATGTCGCAAACATGGGTACATTGCAAAGTGTAACTGAGAAATTAACACTGCTAATGTTAACGACATTGATAGATGCTGTAGCATGTGTGTGCTATCTAGTCCTTAATCTAAGCACACGCTAAAAAATGTTGCCAAAGTAAAGGAGGCTATTCACACCAACAACGATCATTTACATTCTTGTCAGAGGCAATTAACATTTCACCTTAACAATTACGTTTTAGGAGTTTCTTTCCAATTTCTCATTACATTCAAAATGGTGTAACTTCAGTCTGCATGGAAAAATTAACCTAAAGTTCATGATGTGAAACTTGACGTTATTTGAATTATGTTTCTATGGCATAAATTCCTGAACAAATTACTAAAATTCTCTACAATTACTTAATCTCAAATCCAATTATTGTTAGTTTGTATCACACACCGTATAGCATCTTTTCTTTTGTATAGCGTTTTATCTAGAAAATTCTCTTTTCATCTTATTTTTTTAAATCTTAATTTATTCCAGAGGGCGCTGCTTCAAGCAAATAATCATAAACCGTTTCACAGTACAGTAAAACAATATTAAAATTGAGAAAAACATTCTATAAATTTCCAAAATTGATATTAAAATGTTCCTAACTTAAATTGATTGAAAATATATTATACACAATGTAAATTATACTCAACTCAATTTTCCACCTGTCCACATTATATTTAATTATTTAAATTTAATTATATTTGGCCTATATATGTGAGGCATCTCTCATATTTTGATGAACCAGTTAAACACTGAAAATTATAGCTTCTAAAACAACTGAAAACTATATTATATAATATAGAAAAGTTTAAAAAAGTTTTATAAACTACTGAAATAATAGAAGAATACGGTAACTACTGTAGCTTACACATGTACAAATATAAAAAATAAAATGTATGAAACAAACACCATTCGAATAATTGCATTCAAATTGTCCTGTCAACAAATTCCCACATTTTATTAGATATGATATTAAATATACATTATTGGTTTTAAAGAGAATTTCCACGAAGATCTCTATAAGCTCTCGGTAAAGGCCTTCATCTTTGCACGTCCATTGACTGGGATTTCCAGTCCGGTGTTCTGTGAATCCAAAGCCGCCTAGGTAATCAGTTCCCAGGCTATTGTCATATTAACTCTCGCAGATGGTAATCTTTTTCACAAACTACATAATCTATTGAAGTTCTCCAATGTCATTGTCTACAGAAAACTGCTATTCCCTCAAGCAAAAAACTGGGGCTAGCGATACTTCCTAGGTATAATAATTTACAACACTTTCAGTACAATAACAACTTAACTGTAAAACTAGGCTTCTTATATAATCGATGCCCTTAATATACAGATATTTTTATCTGCCTTTAATAACTTTGCTGTTTATGATGCTTTATGATTCTGTGTTTGAATGTAATGTAGAACTTTATAGTATGTCTTAAAAATAGGCAGGTATGATATGACATTGTCATGCCGCCCCTAGCTCATTCTGGCATATCACTGCAATCAGTGCGTTGATCAGTGTGTTTTGGATTAATCCTACATCTATCGAATATTAACTACAGTATAATTGTATCATCTAATTAATTTTCAGGCTGAAGGGTCATTAATCCTTACCAGTTATAACCAGGGCAAGTTTTTCTCCTTTTGGAAAGTTAAAAAAATGGGAAAAAAAGAAAGAAAAAGAAATTATTGATTGCCCCAGAGGTCATTTCTAGGCATCTAGAAAACAGAAAGTTTGCGGGGGCATGTTCCCAGATGGGGTAGTTGGCTCATCGATCGGGCCGCCTTTGTGACATCTCTGGATCCACCCCTTAATTAATAATTAATGTATCAATTTGTTAGTTACTCTTATAATATTACATACATAATAATAAAATGTAATTGGCATAAATATTTATAATATAGATGTTTGTAGCCTGGAAGTTTGAACGCGTAAAATACATATTTGAAATGCCTGAAATACAAATGTGAACCAACCTACAAACAATTGCATAAAACAATATCACATCAATGGGACATCAACCCTATCAAACCCACATTTTAATGGAAATGAGTTGAAGATACAATTTAAGTATGGATTTTTGTTTTAAATTACCAGTAATTTACCTATGATAGACTCAGCTGCTATTTTAAATTACTAAGATTTGTGTCAATGATTGACTCCCAATAACTCAGGTTGTTGACATACCATGCCTACAATACCCTGAAGTTATATATAAACAATTCTCTTTCTCCTTTTCTTAGCATTAAAAGTATTATATACATTATAGTTTTAAGGTTTATTTTGAGATGCATTTAAATAATCAAAAATGGTATTAATAAGTAGAAATATTATAGAATTTATACTAGAAGTGTACCACTTGGAACCTTGAAATGTGAGGTTTGTTAAAGCAGGATAATACCCGATTCACACGTACAAAAATCTTACCAAATGTAACAAAATGTAACCAAAAGTAACATTTTACGGCACGTGTGAAAGTACCTCCGTGTAATATCCTTGTAAAATCTCGGAACGTCTCGCTAATCTTTACCAGCCTCGCTGAGGCTGGTAAAGCTTCCGAGATGTAACATGGATGGATCTGCGCATGCGCAGGGATTTCAACACAACAACAATCTACTGTTTCACGGGGTTCTTTGAATTTTCTTCCTTCTGTATACGATTCTGATCCACTAGAAATAGATAGGCCTATTTTTTCTAAATGATGAATGAATTACCCTTGTTATTGATGTTAATTAGTAATGGTAGAAGAAGAAGATATACATAAAATGAACGTCGGGATGGTGTTAGTACTATTACTAGGCTAGTAATACAAGAGTCCGAGACAGAAACGTTGGAAGCTATGCCTAGTTTAATAGTAGTAGTACAG